AGAGAGTCTCCAGGGATGTTCACCTCCTCCGAAATGGTCTCCCAAGGCTTTCAGGGAATGAGGCACTGAGGTAAATGCTAGGAGCTGGAGATCCGCCCACTTCCTCCCCAACAAAACACACAACAGCAACATCCATGTGATAACAGTAATTAACACCTACTGCACTTACAAGACACAGTCTTTACAATAATCACGGGGAAGATATGACTACTGCCCCAACTAATAGACAAGGAAGAATGGATTTCTAGTAAGTAAACAGAGTTGACGAGACAGCATGGACAATTACTGTTCATTTGTTGTATCATTTGTATTTTTTTTTTTTTCAGTAGTTTACTATAGAAACTTAAAGTACAGAGAGTAACCTGACCAAAGTAATAGCTAGTAAGTGGCAGGGCCATGATATGAACCAAAGCAGACTGGTCCCAGAGACTACGATGCTCTTACCCACCTTGTAACAGCACCTCTCTGATCAGTATCTTCCTTCTCGCACTTGTTACTACAAGCACACGCTAAAAAAAGCCTTCTAAGGAGTTCGCAAATGATTTTCATGGATTCTCTTTTACTCTTAACTGCTGAAGATTCATAATGAAGGCAGCACAGATGCTATAAGCTATAATTAAACGCTGGTGTAAAGTGACTGATAGTGAATTTATTATGGAATCATTAATTTTGCTTTCCCAATTTTGATCACTGAAACATTCGTGCATGATCTTAACACAATGTCTAAGAATGGATTTCTAGTACGTAAAGTGGATAAGACAGCATGGAAGTTAAGATAATTGCTAATTTGTTGTTCAATTCATCATTTTTTTCAGTAAGTTACTAGAACCATTTATAGGAAAAATTACAAACATTTCTATTCTCCCAAATTTGTATTTTCTTGGTAATAAATCTCTTTCACAGTGTCAAAACAACTCAGTAAAAGCTTGGACTTAATACCAAAACAAGTATAAGGGGCTCATTTAATTGCTGAGATATAAGGCCCCATATTATCATTTAATGAGATATGGTGAGATTCTGGGAGAAATAAATTACCATGTAAATGTGTATCTTAAGATTTTCATGCTAAAAATAATGTTATTCATTTTTGTAACAACACGTACTTGTCAAACATGGCTTATTTATAAGCACTTTCTAAATTAATTAACATCTAGATGTTAATCCATTCACTGTGAGACTATGATCACTACATTCTGGACAACATTCACTGAGAGAAGGAATTACCATGTGAAATTAACCCAGAGAACACAGAAAGAGCTGCAGGGTTTGGCAGCCCTTGGGGACCTCATAGATCATACCTCCGGGACATCCCCGCCTTCGGAGGGCTCGGGTTCCAAGTCCTCACTGATGTGTCTGCGTGAGCGGAAGCGCCTGTGGGCCGCCTCCTGGTTGATCTGTCTGATGTTATTGTCCGACTCCGAGGCCACGTCCCTGATGCGAGGTGAGGGGCAACAAGAGGAAGGACCATGAGACCCAACCCTTCATGCCAAGGGCCCTCACCCATGACAATGTCGGTGTCAGACCCTAAAATCAGCTGGCCATTGGGTATGAGAACTCTTGCACCACATCTTGGCTCAAGTGTAGCTCAACATCCACTGGAATGAAATAAATGCAGTTTTTAAACACATCAGTCACAAGATTTTGAGCAACTTATAGGCAGGTATTTCAAAACTTTAGTATTTAAGAAAGACCAGAAATCAAAGTTCTCCACTGATCTGTCACAGGGACAAATCAGGCCTCTGGAGGGAGCAGTGACAGGCAAGTTTGTGCTGCAGCCAGTCAGCTGCGACCCACCCACGTCTACTGATCACAAGGCAGACAAGGCAGATACTTTGGGTCTTCCACAATTAACCAGGGCCTTTTACAGGCTACACATTCAAAGCTGATTTCTAGAGGAAGTCCTAATCCAGTAAGAACACTTCTGGCTGCTTTCTCATTTCATTTTTACTGAATTATGACACTGCATCCCCTCCTCTCGTTATCTATTTTTAAAAACCCAAATAAACGTCAGGCAATAACTTCCCAAGTCAATTGGGGTTTGAAGAATACCACACAGCATCATATCCTATGGTTAGTCATATAATGCTCAAAATTCAGAGTATGAAAACACCGATTCGATCTTGAAAACTTTTTTGCAATAAATTACAGACAACTATCCTTTGGGAAAAATACTAGTCAGAGGCTTTTATGGTAGAAATTGAAATGCCAAAAATGTTTTTCAAAGAAAATTCTCATCAATACTTTCAACAAGACTCATACTCAGTTAACAAAAAACTATGCCCAAAGTTAATATCTTAAAATATTTGAAAACATTGTTTCC